TACCACAGGCAAGAAGCTTTTCCTGGCCCTCTTCTGTCAGTTTTCAAAGTGGAAAACCACTATTATAACTCCCACCAGACTTCTCTTTAGTCAGTGTCACGTGATATGCCTATGTCTAAACCAATCATTAGGAGAGAGAATAGCATTACTAGGACGAATTTAGACCAGTTGACATTTACTCTCCCTTTGGGGATGGGGAGAGCTCATATTCTTTAAATATCTGGAGGATAAGTTCTCAAAATCAGAGTTTTGCTGGTTAGGAAGAAAGGGAATGACTTTGAGTGGGTAATAGGGTGAGCTACCTTCACTTACCATTTTCTCTTGTATCACAATTTTCTTTTTTGATTCAGTTTTCTCTTTGGTGGAATACACTTTCCACTAATAATTTAAGAGATGATCAACCATTTGAATCCTTATGTGTCTGAAAATATTGTCATTATTTTGTACTCTCTCTTAAATGTTAGTTTAGTTGGGTAGGGAATGCTAAGTCAAAAATAATTCCCTTAGAAAACTCTGTTCCCTTGTCTACTAACATCCATTGTTGCTGTTGAGAAGTAGGTGACCTGGTAAGAATTTCCTTTTTAATCCTTAATGCCTTGATGCTCTGAAATTTCATCATGATGTGTTCAAATGTGTTCTTTACTTATGCACTGAATAGTAGCTTTTAGCTTATAGTTACTGGAACATTTTTTGTCATTTCTTTGAATATTTCCTTCCATCCGTTCTCTAGATTCCCTATTAGATGAATGTTGGAACTTCTAGATTTATTCTCCATATTACTTAAATTTTTGCTCATTGCTCTAATTCTTTCTCTTGGAATCCAGGAGAAAATTAAGCCCAGTCTTCCAGTTTACTAATTCATTCTTCAGTTCAGCTTGCGTTGGAATAGCATGGTGATTGAGAGCCTGCAGTCAAATCCTGGTTCAGCCATTTGTTACTGTGATGCCTTGAGTAAGTTAATTAACCTTTCTCTTCTTCACTTAACTCATCTGTACAATGAATATACTTATGATATTTCATGCTTTATGAGTATTAAGCTTAAATATGTCAATATATGAATGCATAGAAGAGTGCAGCACAGTATTACTTATTGATCAATCTATTCATTTAAAAATTTAATAAATATATTATTTAATCCTCTAACTGGTTTGTTTTCATACTAACCTGGTTGTTTGGTGAATATAAGATCCTGTATTATCCCTCTGAGAATAATATGTATATATATGTATATGTATATATATGTGTGTGTGTGTATATGTGTTTATGTATATAATAGTTTTGAGTGTTCAATCCATTTGTTGACTGAAGTTAGTGTCTCTCTCAGTAATAGGTTCTCACAAGCGATTGGTGATTCCGGATTGTCTGCTCACCTTAGGATATGGAAATCTCAGTTGCCTATTTGCTGTGCTGATTCTAACTGAGGGATCGCTTTGCTGATTGTGGTGGGAAGGGGAGCAGGACAGGACATGGTGTAGGGCAAGGGATGCAAGTAGTGTACCTTCTGCATGTGTGTGTGGTCCCATTTCTCCCGGCAACTGGTGAGCAACTCCAGGGGGTAATACTCTCTCCTTGGCCCGAGCAGCCATACTCACAGGGAGTGGGTGTCAGGGCTGGAGCTGAACGCATTCACCTGCTGATTTTCATAATCCTGCTTAATTTTCTTTACATCACTTATCACCATCTCAGATAATCTTATTTATTGATTATTTATTTACAAGCTTATTATTTGCCTCAGTGAAGGCAAATCTCCAGGGCCTTGCACTGGGTCTTGCAGAGTATTTGTTGAATTAATGAAAGAATGAATTAATGCCATTCTTCAGTTACTCGCCATGATGAAAGTGCCTGCTCCCTAAAGTCATTGCTTCTGAGCTTGAAGTTGCCCTCTCACACCGGTCCCACCCTATACAGTTTTCCTTTGTGGCTCTAATGGTGATCCAGTCCTGCCTGCTTTATATAATCTAGGAAGTCTTCTGGGTTGCTAGACCACTAATGTTGCCTTTTTTATTTTGCCTTCTAGAACTCTAATGAATTTTTAAAAATACATTTTCTGTTATATTCAGGAACCTGTAGTGACAGGAGCTTTTTAGAAGCTCCACCAACAGTGTTATGATTTCCACAGTGTTTATTTCAGTTGGAGCATGGATTTGATATTAAATAACAGTGAATGTAATAGAACATATTCCCCTTTGGAATTCTCTCTTTTTTAAATAAATATTTTTAAAATATAAAATATATTTCAACTATACAAAAAGATACAGAGGACAATATAATGAAAAGCCATTAGTGTACAGATAAAAAAATAAATAACTTAGACATCATTGTTGGAGCTTCCTTTGTGCTTTCCCATTCCATTTCTCTTCTTTTCTTTCTCACTATCCTGAAGCTGATTTGTATCCTTCCTGCCTGTATCCAGGCTTTTTTATAGTTAACTACATATTTAGACAGATATAAACAGAATGTCTTATTGTTCCGCAGGCTTTCAAACAGCACGCAAATGATATCAATTCTTTCAATCCTTCAGATTACCCTGAGAAGAAAAATCTCCCTTTGGTCAAGTTCTGAAACTAAGAGCAGGCCTCAGGATAGGAGCCTTAGGCAGGAAATGCTAGCTAGCTAGAATTTAATGATGCTGCTTTATTTTCCATTGCATTTATTTTAATGGTTTCTACTTTAGCAAGTGTTGCTAGCTTCCCTTTTACAGGAGTCCTTTATATTTCCCTTTAAATTAAATGTAAAAACAGAAGGGTTGATTTAAGAAAAATACTAAGTAAATAGTAACAGGACGGGAGGTACACAGACATGGCAAAAAGATTTAGGAGTTTTTGCTGAAATTTGATACACACTTGACCTAAAGAATGAAGTTCAAGTGCCTTAAGGCATGCGAAGCTCTCTACCTGATCTGAACTCGGCTTTCTTCCTTAGTCCAGTCACTTCACCTACAGCACAAACTGCTTGGAGTTTCTACCTCCCCTGATCAGCTGGAAGTGCCTTGGCTCCTGTGACCTCCCCTTTTATGGCACTTCCTGCAGCCAGCGGCCCTGCCTCCACCAGACTCTCTTTCTCCTCCTGGCTCCTAGGAAGCCCTTCCCCCTCGCATACCCATCATCGCACTGAACTACAGTTTTGTAATGGAATTTTAAATCCAAGGGTAGAATTCAGTGCCAGTAACATGGCATCCTTATGGCCTGAAACAGCTCACTGTTTCTATAACACTGGAAGAAAAGATCCCTTTGTGATATTTCAAATAAAATCCGAGGTATAAAATATAGGTTCTCCATGGGAAAAAAACAAAACAAAACATGTTTGTCTCATTTTAAGTACGTTTGGAGTTTTAGAAATAATTCTGTTCATAGAGCTCAATGCCTGATCTTAAATTATTTTCAACATTGAGACAATACATTAACTTGTCATCTAGATTAAAGGTAAAAAAGGGACATGGAAAAATAAAAACAATGATGGGAAATGATAGGTTTTTACGGCTTGATGGCTTGCTGCACATCACTTACAACCTCGACCTATATGATTTTATTAAAACATGAGAGTTGAAATGGAGTGTTTTGAATATAACACGTTTAAACGTTCGCCGTTCTAATAGCAAAAGCTCCTCAACTCTTGCAGCGTTTACGTGTTTCAGAATCCACAGTGCGTATAAGTAAACACAATAATATTAACAATAGCAGCACAGCGCACACTGAAGCCTTTTTAAAAGTCTTCTAATGTCTGCAGTCGTGATGAACTCACTGCATGGGTTTTCATTCATTCATTCAAAAGCCTTATTCTGAAGCTCACATACACACTACACGGTGAACACGCCCCGCCCGCCCTCCCCCTCCCCCAATGCTTTCGGCCAGGTGTAAATGCTCATCTTAACAGAAGTACAGATAATCCTTCCAAAGCTATTGCTGTATTTGGGAGAAAAGTTCGATTGCACCGTTTCCTACTATGTATTTTTAGTGGCTAAGGCTGGAGAGGAAGGGCTGTGCGGGGCGGGGGCGGGGTGACTGGGGGAAGTGACTTCACACTGTTGATTACAGAACATCAAGTAGACCACAGTCAACGATCAGCCTTTTAATGAGAAAGCGGGCGGTGTGGAATCGCTCTCTGGCCGTGCATGTCGTCTGTTACATCTTACCCGCCAGCCAAACTTTCTCCATCAATCTGGGTAGGTCAGCCGCGGAAACGCGGCGTGTATTGCCTCACCCGGCGTTGCCTTTAGAGTTACCTGAAGCATTCAAGCTATTGCACCCAGAGAGCAACCTTCTCGGTTCAATTCGGTCGTTTCCGTAGGGAATTGCGGCACGGGCAATGTCCTGGGTGTGGCGATGCCAAGAGGAAGCTCAGATTCCCGGCTTTCCCGCTTCTGGCAAACCTGTCCAGCCCCGAAGCGGCGAGTAACCAGCCATCCGGGATCCCGGAGACCGCAGGAGGACCAGACCCAACGGCCAGGGCAAATTGCCGAGGCGCGGGGCTGGGCGCCGTGTGCGAGTGCGCGGCTCCCCCATTCGTTCGCGGCTGGAGGCGGATCCCCTTCCCTGCACACAAGTCCTTATATGCACCGGTTGCAACAGCCTGCTTTACTCCAGCCCCACAAATAATTAATAGGGGAGGGAGGGGCATCACTCCCCCCTGCCGCGCCCCCGCATTTTGTTTTTCAGCGCCGGAGCATCTGAACCTTTCCGAGATCCCCCAGATGCGATTCAAGGGCCCTATTGCTGCAGTGCATGGTCTTCACACACGAAAGTGTGTGTGCCCAAATAGCTCCTTTGCCCTTACGATAAGCACTGCAAGGTTCAGAAATAGCTCTTCAGATCCAGCCAGATTAGCGGGGCAGGCGTCTGGGCGGAAGGGTACTCTCCCCTCCCCCATCCACACTGGTGCAGAGGGACTGGGTCAGGAAGCGCGGCCTCTCCCCAGTCGGAGACCACGCCTCCTCCGTCGCTTTCCTCCCCCCCCACCACTTACTCCTCCCAGGAAGCGATGATAGACAGTTCTGTGTGTTTCTCCACCCCCCACCCCCCAGCTGAGTGGAGGAGTTGATGTGTCTCATTATAAGAGCCAATGCAGCCGCCATCCACGCACAAGCAAAGAAGCATGTCCCATTTAAATACACCCACGCAGCCGAAGCGCCCTTAGCTGATCAGGGCGCGCAGCCCACACGCACCGCGGCTCCCGGCTTGGAGGTCCCGGCAGGTTGGGCTCCCGGACCCAGCGGAACGAGGAGCGGAGGATCGCGATCCGGCGCTGTGGATAAGGGGTGGGCGGGGGAGGCTGGGCCCGGGGGCCTCTGGCGCGACACCCGCATGAGGACGCGAGTGAAATAGACCAAGGTGGAATTTCCAAGGGACAAGCTTCGAGGTGGTTTTGGTCCATTTCTCCGGCGAAGAAGTAGACATGGCGAGCGATTCCCCGGCTCGCAGTCTGGATGAAATCGATCTCTCGGCACTGAGGGTGAGCAGAACATGTTTTTCGATTTGTTTCTCGTGGTTTAAGTGCGGATGGATGGGTTCGGTGCGTGGATGGGGCTGGGACTGGTGGGCAGAGGCGGACGAATGCGATGCGGAGGGAACCTGGATTATCGTTTGGATTTGGGGGCTGCTGAGGTGCTCTCGGCTAAGTCCCCACGGCAGGGGCTGTGCGGTACGTCGCCTCCTCTGGTTGTGGTCGAGAACCCCCTGGGAGCGCGTGGAGCTTCTGGCAGTTTCATCTCAGAACGGTGTAAACGCATTAAAATGAAAGGCGTGTGTGTATGTACACAAGCCCCGGGCAGTCGTCTCTTGCCAAGGCGCGAGACTGGACTCTTTCTGCAAAAAGAATAACAACGGCGTGAATAAAGGCACTGGCCCCCCACGTTTTTCAGCTACCTGCAAGATGACATTGTCAGCCTGGCAGTCCCCACAGAGCCGAACCTGCCTCTCCAAGAAGGCAGCTATTGCTATGCTGGTCTTGTAGATGGCAACTGCCTCCCCTTCCCCCTTTTCTGCCTTCCGTGCGCGGACTCCCTCGCAGCGCTGTCTAAAACACCAGTCTGCCCCTCACCTTTATTTGTGGTTTTAACTCAGCCCTGCCTGTGCTGACTTTGTGGCTGTGACATTTCAGTTTTTATGGCTGAACTTCAGCAGGTGAAAGGGATGTGTTCTCCGCTTTTCCCCAATCAGACCGGAACTCCCGGGAGTGTGGAGTGAGTGAGAGAGTGTGTGTGTGTGTGTGTGTGGGTGTGGGTGCGTGTGTGTGTGTGTGTGTGTGTGTGTGTGTGTGTGTATGTCTCCCTGTGTCTGGCCAGTCCTTTGTAGAGCACTTCCCAACCCCCAGACCCACTGAAAGTCTGCGTTTACCTTCACGTGAATGGTTCCAGTCCCCGTTTCATTGTATTGACTAAGACATCACCCATATAGAATCCATTTTGCTGTTGTTTTGAGACCAGGCAGGATACCAAGAATCCAAGTGCAGCCTCAACGCCTCCCCACCCCCACCCCCAGCCCCCAATCCCAACACACTCCTTCGGGGAAGGGGGCAGAGCTTTCTTGCCATTTTAATTAGATGCTGCCTGCCGGGAAGGGGTGACGGGTGGGGGTGGCGACAGCAGCGGGGGTCTTAGAAGGATTGGACTCCAATTTAAAGACGGCTTCTTTCTTTCCTGAACATAAAATAAAATAAAATAAAATAAAATAAAATAAAATAAAACTTGCATGTACATGAAGCATTGAGGGTCGGTGAGACCAAATTGATGGTGGCCGTCAACACAGGGACACGCAGGATGGTTGAGGCTTGGAAGTTCACACGCCCTCCTGAGAGAATACATTGTTAAATTGATGCTAAATCTTGGGGTTATATACCTGCATCTTCAGTACTTCACCTGACATTGCCTTCTTCTCCACAGTTATTTTTAAAGAGCTGCCTTTATGGTCCAAGTGTCACTTTTTCTTTAGTCTCATTAATCCTCTCTCCCTACCTAAACCCCCTCTTTTAACTCCTCCTCCCCCTCTCCTTAATCCTTCCATCCAAGAGGTGAGGTTGCTGCGAGGCAGTCAAGTGGTTGAGAAGGAACAGAGATGCCGTTTGTAACTGGCTTTTTTGATAGCTGGGCAGCAAAAGCTCATTCATGCGATATTACAGTAAGCTGTCTATTTCCCTGGCATCCAAATGCCACATGCAGAATAGGATGGGGGTTGGTAACAGGCTGGGTGACTTGGCCATGGTCTGTGGCTTCCTGCTTTACAGAATGTTCATTTGCCCTACTTTGTGCGCTGGGAGTTGCTGCCAGCCGGTTAATCAGGTGGATGGATGGTCCAGACTTCAGGGCAGGGGAAAGTGGCAAAGGTCAGGGAAGGCATCTGAACAATGGGCAAGGCTGTGATTTCTGTCATCCAGCATCTCAACATCGCTCCTCTCAAGGAAAGTGCCTTGATCTGATTTTAAATTTGGCTTGGCCAGAAGGGTCCCTTGTCGTTATTTCCTGGGAAGGTTTTTCAGAGATGCTGAGCACAGAGCCTGCAAGCTTATGAACAACTATGAGGGCTTGCTGGTCGGCCTGGAGTGTGATTCACACATGGGAACCCTCCGCTCCTGAGATCTGTGTTTTGAAAAGATATCTTTGCAGGATTCACTGACATTGCTCCCTGTGGCTTGTGCCCAGTGCTCTGCCTCTCTATTTCTGCCTGCAAGAGGTGTGGAAAAGGAAGGGCCAGGATAGCCTAGGAGACTGAGAACTGTGGGTTGGAGGACTTAAATGCAGATGTGGAGACAGTTGGAGGGCTGGGGTCTGCGACCAGTCTTGTGGTGGGTGAGGTGTGCATGGTAGGAGTGGGTCCAAAGGCCATATAGGTAATCTCTACAAATCAGAGGGCAGGTCATCTGTCTCTGTCTTTTCCAATTAGGAAAAGTGAGCTCATTTAGATGAGAGGTCTCATTTGTTCCTAAACTCTCAGTAAAGCGTGCCTTTTGAGAATCTTCTGGGAATGCCTGACCCCTGAAATGCAGCCAAGGTCAGTGGCTTCTAGGAGAATTTGCTGCAGCCTTACCAGTCCCTTGCTGTTTCGCTGGCTCTTTAATGTACACAATCAATGCTCTTTTTGTAAACGCTGTGCTCAATGCATTAAAAGCGGATCCTGTCTGGAGAGGCCTTTATCCTTCTCATTTTGGGGGCTTATTGTTCTCAGTCAGTGATCCCAGACTGGACCTGGTCTAAATTTTCCCCAAATAGCAACAATGCATAATTTAAACCAGAGCAACCAGTGATAGCCCTGATTATTTAAATTATGCAAGATTTGGATTGGTTTTAAAAGTAATATAAAACAGGATCTTTGGTTAGGAAAGAGATGATCTTAATCCAGTATTATTAATCCTTATTTTTAGAGCTCTGGAGAGAAATGACATCTTGAGGGAGGGAGGTGAGTTCATAGAGTTGGAATTGGAAGAAAATTGTATAACACTTGGCCACTCCTTTCATTTAATTCTTGGGAAGCTGAAGCCCAAGAAGTGAAGTCTACTGCCCAAGGTCACACAGCCCCCACCCCGTCACCTCTTGGGTGGTTTGAAGAGAGTATCTAGGTTCCCTGACTCCTCATTCAATGTTCTTTTCTCTAAGTCACATTGTCTGTGCTTGAATCAGAAATCAATAATACATTTTCTGTCTGAGCACAAAAAAAAAAAAATAATAATGGCAGAGAGGAATAATTTCACCAGGATCATGGAATTTTATATCTTGATAATAGAGAAACTGCTTTATGCAGGTAAGCTCATGATGCATATAACATATAACATATAAGCATATAACATGGGGCTTTAAGGTGCCTTTGGAATTCATCTTGTTCAACCCTCCTTCAAGTTCTTCTCTGCAGGCAAATGGCTGTCTAAATTGTCTAGAACAGATGTTTGTCCTGTGTGGTGATTTCTCTCTGTAACCCGCCTCCATCTGAACATGTCTGAGGGATCATCGATACGTACACATTATTGAGATGTGTCTGCATGTAAGGTTTATAGCTTCTATGTATGCTTTATATAATCTCTGTGGATACCTATATATAGTATTATGGATATAAACTATCCATGTGAGTATATATAAGTGTGTCCACATATAGGCTACAGGCAACAATTCAAACCCAGGGCTTGAGTCACAGTTTAAGGCATCACAGTATTAAAATAAATGAAATTTGCCACCAGTACGCTTTATTAGATATAAAGTGAGATCAGCCCAGAAAGCTTTTTGGAGATTAGCATATATCTGAGTCTGGCCACTGTGGCCGTCCTTAGCCTGGCCCAAAGAGTAAGGAATTCAAGGCCAAGATTGGTTGCTGCTGACTTCATACTCTTAAGTTTCTGCCAGGACTTACACTCACTTTTCTATTTGAACAGAATTAGATGACCTCTGCTTGTCTTTTCCCTGACCCCTTACTCCCTTCTGGGCCTATTTCTTTCTTCATCAAAACCCGTTCTTTAGGGTGGGGGGAGGTAGAAGAGGGTAAAGTGGGGATAAATGGTGATGGAAGGAGACTTGACTTGGGGTGGTAAACACACAATACAATATGCAGATAATGTATTATAGAATTGTGCACCTGAAACCCATATAATTTTATTAACCAATAAATTCAATAAAAATTTTTAAAAACACAACTAGATTTAAGAACTGACCTCATCCGGAAGACTTGCAGGCATCCGTCCCACTATACTTTTCATGCCAATGTTATAAATGGTGTGTAGTTTTCTTTTTGCCTGCTCACTAAACTGTGGGCTCCTTTAGGCCAGAAGCTTGGTCTTGTTCAATTTTGAGTCCATAGTCCCAGTGAGTTGAATAAACGAATAAATGCATGAATGAGTGAGTGAGTGAATGGAGTGGACTGAGCACTGAGTTCTGTGCCCATATGTTATTAGTTTTGGGAATGATCCAACTGCTTGCTTTCTTCATACACTGGTTTTAAAAATCAAATTATTTATAGCAATGCTTTGAAAACTATAAAGCACTATACCAGTACACTAGTCCATGATTAAATAGAATTTTATGGGAAACTTGATTCCATTGACATTTGGTCCCAATGATTACACTTAATTGAAAAATATCCTAAAAAAATGTCCTACATCTTTTTAATAGTATTTTTTTTCCTTTTTATACTTCAGTATGACCTTGTATGTTTCTCTGATGGCCTGGGTTCACCTTTGCCATAGTACAGCATTTATTACACATGAGGTGAGCTCAGCCCAGAAGCCTGTTGGAGATTAGCACGTTTCTAAACTAGTATCAAGTATCAGCATCATTCATCAAGTAAAACCTTTTAAATTTTCTTTCTAAAAAAGACTTCTTTTCCTCTTTATGGATTGACCATTATTAAACTAAAAACAGGTTACTTATGCCTGTGCCTTTTTAAAGTTTGTGTTTGGAGGGGTCACTGTAGGGGGAATGGGCATCTAAAAGGGTATACTACTAGTCCAGTGTTTAAAACTTAAAACATTCTGGT